AAATTGCTCCAGCAATCGATTGATGATTAATACTACCCAAATTTGGCATTGCCAAACCGACAGCATCAAGTTGTTCGCCCACGGAATATAATCGAATACCACTTTGCATAACCACCACACCTGTTTCCCTATCTGCGGATAGAATTTTATTGAAATTATCCAGATTAATGAGCCAGCTCGATGTGCAAGTAATATTTGAAGGAGAATGACCACATCCTACAGTTGTAATTCTGCGTCGACATCTTCGCGCAAGGTTGACGACCTTTTCGACTTCGGCGATAGATTGTGGTTGAATGAACAATTCAGGAGATGAATGAAATGTCCTTGCCCATGTTGATTGAGTATGATTTGTTACAGCGCGAAATGGAATATCGTCGCCATATTTTTCCAATTCGGATTTGATTGCGGGGTCCATCTTTGCGCCCAGATCGACCTAGGTGGGTGTATCTTTTGAAAGTTGTAAGTAAGTTGTAGATCTATTTTAGAATGGTGATTCAAACTTACTAGGTAATCTCAATAGGTATATACGAGTGAGTAACTTGGGTTGAGAGAGGAATATTATATTCTCATCTGATATTCCCGAGAGAAGTGAAAGAAAATCCAGATTCTCCCATTTTTGTCGCCTCTCTTCGAAGGAGGATTGATACTTTTTTTTAGGCGGGGTGGTTTGGAATATGAAACTAAAATGGCTGCAGATGGGCGCAGATGAGTGCATGAGTGCATGAGTGCATAAAAAAATAAGCCGACGCCGACAATACAATAGCGATACCGATACGATACGACCAATGATTCCCATCCAGTCACCCAGTCCAGCCAGTCCAGCCAGTCCAGCCAGTCCAGCCAGATCTTTTGATGGTTTGATGTGATGAAACTAGACCACGAATGGGCTCATCGTCTACAATCACCAGTCACCAGTCAAAGACCAACGAATAATATTCGGGAGTCATCTACGATAAATGACTGACATATATATATATATATACATCTGCATATATATGTACCTAGGTATACACACACAACATACAAGTTATTGGTTAATGTTACCAACGGTTTACTTGTTTGTTCTTGTTTATTGACTATCACGATTATCTCTACGATATCAAACTACTGTACTGATACCATCACCTTACCGGATTGTATCTAGACAATTGAATGACGCTCCGCTGGCCCTTCGGGGACCACTGCCGTGGAGGCAGACTACTTGACATGTCAATATCAATATCTAGTACCGGTAACCTTACTTCTTTACATCTTTTGAATTTCGAGCGCAGCGAGCTATGGGGGTTTGGGGGCTTGCCCCCATCAATAAACCCAGAAAGGATCTGAATATCATATGCAAAGTCACATATATCTATTGATTCTATTCTGGATATATGAAAATGATCAAGACGACGAATATAGATCGGAAGCCAGATACTCCAGATTCTTCTCGCTTCCTCTTTCTCCTCAGACCAAAGACAACGAACGATTAAGTTTCTAGAAATTCTAGAAATTCATTCGACTTGGATCGTAGCAAGGATATACATGTTCAATTAATATACAACTTAATACAAGTCATATCATTCCGAATATGCAAGGCGACCTGTCAAAGATCTTGATCACCAGTCATTCTACATGTTCGAGTCTTTGAGATCTACAAAAGGGTGATGTATCCACCAATATCAACGATCCTATTGATATTGGGAAATCCTCCAAATTCCTTTTATATCTCGTGAGCCTCACATCTTGTTCAATATACATCATTGGAAGTATATTATCGATGGTTTTCAAGTATATCATATATATATATATATATATATATATATATATTTATACATATCATGTTCGTTCTTCTATTCATAATAAATGAACATCGAGATGGAAGATTTCCCAGACTTCCCCAAAACCTCGATCCCTAACTTTTCATCTCTTTTTCCTTTTTCCCAATTCTTTGCATGAACTTCATCTGAACTATTATTTCAAAGAGTCCTAGTCTTGGTCTTACTCGAGTCTACCCTACCCAGTCCAGTCCCCTTCGTATGCGGAACATCCGGACCCCTCTCTCTTCAATCAAATGAGGTAAACGTTTAGATATTGTATCAATTTAACATAGGGGAGAAATTTCCATTGCATTGTATTGCTTTTGGAGGTGTATCTACGATTGAGGTACTCGCGGAGAGATTTGGTACCTGCAGACAGACCAGACAGCAATAGCTACAATATCTATCAGATCTATCAGATCTATCAGATCTACCATATATACCATATTCTTCTATCGGTCTGATCCTCTCTCTATATACAAAAGTACTGGTTGATTTATTTCATTCTCTTTTCCTCTCTCCCTCACTCTCTCTCTATACATATACACATATACACATATACATACATCTACATCTACATCCATCTACATATACTCTCTTTCTAAATTTACTGTATATCATCTAAATCTGAACTGTTCATATTCTTATATTCTTGTATTATTTCATTATCCTTCCTTATCTATTCTCTTCTCTTCTCTTCTCTCCTTTTCCCAATAAAATGAAATAATGGTTAATGTCGCCCTCTCACTCACCTTATCAGCTGGAATGTCTCCTACACCCACCAGTACATTTTGCGGTCTTCATCGTCCCTCACATTCTCACTCCAATTTAAAGAAAGACGCCGCCCAACAAGACACTTCCGACGCACTTTCCACTACTTCCTCTAAATTCCGCAAACAATTAGTAGCAAATGCACGACCTCTCCTCCTCCGCCGTCGCGATACCTCAGATACAACTCGAAGTCTTCCAAATTTGAACTCCAAATCAAAGTCGAGTCTTCAAGAGAAAGATAAATTCGGCAACCGCGACGATTCACATCCTTCAATTTCAGTCCCACCCGGTCGAAATCTCCGATTAAAAAAATCACAACCACCTGGTTCGACTTCACCCAATTTTTCCCTCCCACTCAATAATAATAATCCTAAACGTCCATCGGCCGATTTTCAATGGGCGCGTGAAGATCAATTGAGTGTGATATTAGAATATCTGGAAGAAACTACACGTGGCGGAAGTACTCCCAATTCAGAGACCGCCGATCCATTAAATCATTCCAACAATTCCCATTCAGCAACTCCGCTCGCATTACCGCAACCTCCCCCACCTCTCGCAATCCCCGAAACAATACGAGAAAACTTGTCTCCGACACCTACATCATCACCTCGCACTCCAAAATTTAATAAAATCGGTGTTCGTGAACGCGCAAGCAATTCGAAAATCCCCAGTTATTCTTTCTCGAGAACTCCTTCTACACCTTCGACTCTCAATACCGCTTTTACAAATTCATCAACACCTTCCAGACCCCAAAACCTGATAAGAAGAAGTGAACAACGAAATCTGGAGGATAAATTCAGAGAAATAAGAGAAGGGTTGAGAGATAAAGATCGTGCGGATCCAATTGATTTTTCAAGCAGCGCATTGGGAATCAGAATGGCTAGCAGTATTGGTAGTGAGAGGGGAACACCGGAGATGGTACCAAGACCCATTGCGCATCCGCCAAAAGATGTAAGTATCTTCATCTTTTAATTTTTGTTTCCCAAGATGAGATGGCGGAAGGGGAAGTCGAACGGGAGAGAATGAATGGAAGCTTTTATTCTAGTTGCTGCTCTTTATGGGGGCAAGCCCCCAAACCCCCTTTTGCTCGCTGCGCTCGATTATTTCCTCTACGAAACTAGTCGGCCTCCACGGCAGTGGCCCTCGGAGAGCCAGCGGAGCGTCATTCATAAAATTTCATCATGGCAGGCAGTGCCCCATTCGATAAACATTAGATGAAAACTGTCAATTCACACCTCAATCCCATTAATTGATTTCACTGAACTATACTAACATCATCTCTCTCACAGCTCGAATCCATAGCCCGCATAGACTCCTCCCTAATCTTCGAACATTTCACCACGTCCGATGCCTGGGTTCTCGGATCCGCTCTTCGGGAGCGTCTCCTTCCTCACCCAACTCCAGTCGTTATTTCCATCTCCCTTTCAAATGCCAATCAAGTTCTTTTCCACTGCTGTACACATTCTGGAACCATGCCCGATAATGATTCCTGGGTTTCGAGAAAGAGAAAGACGGTTTTGAGATGGGGTGTTTCAACATGGTATATGTGGTGTAAATTTGAAGGGGATGAGAGTGCTTTTGCGCGCAAATATGGGTTGGGGAATGAAGCGGGAGATTATGCAATTCATGGAGGTGGAGTACCAATTAGAGTTACGGGTGTGGAGGGAGTGGTAGCTTGTGTGGTTGTTAGTGGATTGAAACAGTGGGAGGATCATGGAGTTATTGTCGAGGTTATTAGGGATTTGTATTATTGAGCGGATTTGCGGGTTTGTGCATGCATAGTTTGTCTAGGTGATTTGGACAAGCGTGGATGGAAGCGGTGTTTTTTTTTATATCCTGCGACTTGCATATAAAGGATAAATGCATGGAATTACTGGATGTTTTAAACTTGGCTTGGATGATTCGGTATGGTTTGGTTGAATGGTTCGCATTGTTTACGCACGTTAATGAATATGCATATGGTATATGTTGAAAGGGGAAGTCAAGAAAAGGAAGGGAAAGGCAAGGAAAGGGAAGAGGGGAGAGGCAATGATTAATGATTGGCTAGATGCCAAGGCTGAAATTGTATATACGAGCAACCCTTATATGCGGGCATTTAGGCCATGAAATTTTTAGGCCCTTATATCCAGGTTCATCTGTATGTATATTCCTCGCTTATCTTCTCCCCTTTCCCTCCCCCCCCCCTTTCAATTCTTAAGCTAGCTGTCTTTCTCCCTCCGAATTTGCTTTTGAATGAATGTACGGCTCGGAAGTCGATATGTGTATGTTATACATGTAACAACATGTAAAGAATTTTCTTCAGGTCCTCCTCGTCTTCTCATTATCTTTATCTAGTTCTTCTTCTCGGTTGTATTTGGAGGGATTAGATTACGATGAGTGTACTATGGATAACAACTCTTATATGACGAGGGATTTAGAAGAGGAATACTAGGTACATTGAATGTTGTTTAATCATTGAAACTATCTAAACATCTCTAAAATCTCTCTAATTGCTTCTCTAAAGATCAACAAAAACCCATCCTCACCTCGTAAAACCACTCATTTATTTCCCCTCCTTTTCCTTCTCATCCTCCACCGAATTCTCAACCACATCCACCATAAACGCACCGCCCAACAAAATAGCCGGTTCCTCCAAACTCTTATGTTCATAACTCAACGTTCCTACTCCTCCCGCCTCGAGCAAAAAAGTCGGTCCATCCTGTAACGTCTTTCCAACCCATCGCATCGCAAACGCTCTCAAGATATGTCCATGCGCTACAATCAACACATCTCCCGGTCCCGCTTCCTTTTTGTCTTTCCCAATTACGGGACCGTGGTATTTGGATCGAATGTCCGAGATGAGAGCGTCGATACGTTCGGTGACTTGTTCGGGGGATTCGCCATCCGGACAACCATCGCGCCAAATATCCCACTCGGGAAGTCCGGCGGCTTTGCGATCAGAGCGGATTTGTACAGAGGTGATTCCTTCGTAAGAACCGTAATCCCATTCCCGGATGTTTTCGGTGATTTCTACTTTTGCCGACGTGCGGATTCCTGAGGTGTGGGGATTAGCAAGTGCCGATGTTCATATTAGAAGTTGGGAAGTAAGATTGCCAGGCAATCGGGAAACGATATTATGGAATAGATGTGTGGAATAAGGAATCGAGGTAAGAAAATGCATATTCACCAGATTCAGCATGTTTTCTTCGTTCTTCCCATGGAAGTTTCTCGGCACATCCTACTTCGAGGAGTTCGAGGGTTCTTTGGGCACGTTTTCGTGGGGAGACATAGCTGGATAGTTGTTAGAATTGTGAATATTTACCTAACAAGATATTAAATATTCGAGCGCAGCGAGCAAATGGGGGTTTGGGGGCTTGCCCCCATTGAGATCAATATAAAAATTAATGAATGACGCTCCGCTGGCCCTTCGGGGACCACTGCCGTGGAGGCAGACTAGGAGAAGATAGAAACATACATATGAGCCAAGTTTCTAGGAACAATTAATCGATCATCACCAATTAATGCTCTTCCCGTTGCGCGAATTCTCTTTTCTCCATTGGCAGTTAAAGGAAGTTCTGTGATGCCAGTATGTCGACCATTGAGAGACCATTCGGTTTCACCATGGCGGATCACGAAGACTCGAGGAGTGGTCATTATGTAGGAGGATGTGATGTGATGTGATGTTTGTTTATCTTTTAACTTTCAATTGAGGGGTAGAGGGGATTCTTGTTTTGGCGCAGATCGTTGATTTAAGTTATGGAATCAATCATCCAAAAATGAACGGCGTGTTTATATAAAGTAAAGTCTATGACTCAATTAGTATATATTCGAATTTTATAAACTCCAACATCATTTCCATTTCTTCCGAGTCCCAAAGTCAAACCTCTCCCTCTCCTCTTCTCCCCCTCAATGTGCAAATACAAATAGCGGCGGTGCAGGAAACCAACATAATTGAATCGACCTACCTGCCTAATTATCTGTGCCTCACTCCTTCGACTTCGAGAATCCAACGATAAATAATTATCTCACAAGGCCAAGTATTTTCCAAGTACTTTCCATAAAAATCACATTCATTCACATCAATATAAAACAAAAAATGGCAAAATCAGATCAACATGCAAGCAGCTTATTACACAATCCCAAACCAAAACCATGGGATTTCTGCCCCTCACTTACACGTCGATACACCAATGACGTCGATTTGAGCTCCGTGAGCTCCGTACACCGAACGCGAATCGAAGGAGTGGAGTTAATTGGTGAGGAAATGGAGATGGAGATGGCATTTAGATGGAAGGAAAGAGGGAATGAGAATGTGAAAGAGATGGAAAAGAAAGAGAAACAGAAACAGAAGAAAGAAAACATTAAACTTACTAATACTGGAGAGAGAAGTAAGAAAGAAAAGAAAGTAGAGAGAGAACAATCAATTGATGAAATTTGGAAGGGAGTTTGGACTTGATTTTCTATTTCTGTTTCTCGAGACATCTACTCACTAGGTACTTATCGGGCAATCGGAAAAGTCCAAGATCTTCGGTGAAGTTTGAACCCGAGATTTATTTTTCTAGAGTAGAGCTTCACTATCAATCACCAAACGATAAACTTTGCGACGACATACTTAATTGCTGAGTACCCCCGCGAGCGTCAAAATGTCAACATCGCAACAAGTCACCAAATTGAAAAGAATAGTATGGACGGGTGCAATTGCGTCAGTTACAGTCGTGGGCACAATATATGGTGCTGGGTTGAAAACGCAGGGAGAACAAAAACAGGTACTTCCTTCTCACCCAGATCTACTACCTCAACTCCCACTACATCCTTAACAACAGAAGCTAACCTTTCACCTTCCTTGAAGCAAATCCGCAAAGTCCGCGAAGCCCCAATCACTGAACGAATTGCCCATCTCGAAGAACAGCGAGGAGTATTGGTGGGTAAAAGAATGGGGTTGCAAAAGAAAATTGAAGAATCACAAATGAGGAGGAATGGAGCAACGGTTGAAGAAAGTACTCGGGGAATGGAGAGGAAGAGGGGAGAAAATGTTGGTTTGACGATGGAGGGGGAGAGAAAGACGACAAGGGTGGATATGGAGGATAACTTAAGGGTGGTGGGGGTGGAGACGGAGATTGAAGAGGGGAAGAAGGGAAGAGAGAGGAAGAGGACTTGGTGGTGAGGGGGCTGCATGCATGCTAAAAGATTTGAGATATTCGGGAGAAGAGGCAGTCTACATATGCGGTAGCGAAGACTTTTGCGATGGGGCTATGCTTTGATTACAAGCATCGATACCTCCATGGACTCGAGGAGAGGGAGAGTAGCGATGGTGAATACATTGCGCAACAGAGGAGGGAGATATTTGTAGTCAGGCCGGGAAAGCTGTGCTATAGGCGCGGCGGCACAGGAATTGCGTGTCGTCATCGAGAAAAGAAGGGAAGGAGACTTGGCGGCAGAAATTCGAGATAAGCAGCCTGCATCATAAACGTGAAAGAATGCAAGAAGACTCTCGCCTCGATCACCGTAAAAGCGACCACCTGAAACTTTCCTGGCCGACTCACCACCCTGTATGAACCAAACACTTTGCACTCTCAAGCATAGGGAGATGAGCTTTGAAATTGGGGTCGAAATACCTTTATAATTGGGGAAATTTACTCGACAGAACACCTGGATTGGATACAAGCCATTATCGCATATCAGCTCTGATAGATGGCAAACATGAATTTTATATTGAGCAACTTCAATTTTCCGAGTACTCATAAGGAGGATGTAGATATTATTACACAGCTAATAATACCTCCCGCAACAATATCATCAGATGATTTGTATGTCAATGAAACACTAAGACGATGCGAAGCTGCTTTCACAAATATATCGTCTCAGATGATCAATAAGTTGTTTGCAAGTGTGTTCCTAAGATTGTACATGCACATGCTATACGATAGTCTGAGCAGTTCTATCGCAGTTCCTGGCATCTTTTTTACAGCAAGTAGCTCATTCAAAGTGCATTTCTCATTTTCATGTACGTGAGTGATGTTATGGGCTAAGTAGACTCATCATTATCATACTTAGCATACATATCTTGAAATAAGACACTGATACAATGGGTTTATATATTTTCAACGTGTCTATCGAACCTTTGTCATTTTGTAATGTATGTATTATTCAAGCATAGCATCACTGCTATAGTTTTTGGTAGAGTTCTCTACCTGTCCATGTCCGATATCAAGAAGAATCCGTCCATTTGCTTGATATCCTCCCTTTATAACTTAGTCTCAGGGCTATCTCCACAACCTGCCACATGTCTCATGGCAAAAATGCGAGAACAAAACGTTGATAATAACAAGTGACATTCTATAATCTCCTCATATCCTGCTTTCTTACCGAGTGGTCTATCACTTCCATCACATCATGTCTATCAATCGTCCGTCACGATGCGGGGAATCCTAGTCGTGGAGTCACATGCTGAAGATGGGATACTGTTGAATACACAAGATGTTCGACTCCAATAAGCGAAGGAAACCATACTGTAGGTTATTACTCCAAGTGATGACTCATTGATCGTTAGATGTGAACGCACAATGGTCTGTAAACCAGAAGTTTGGTGACTATACCTAGCAGAATTTTGCGCGAGGTAATATCAAGGTGACGTGTGTATTCTATATTGTGTTGCGCAGCGACATGAGACGTGTCAAAATACGCTGGAATTGACGGGACTTGTAATACATGGAAAGCGGAATGATGCTGAGCTTGGAAATGTGGGAAATATGGCTTGCGGGAATAAAGTTTAGTGTTTGCTAGAAGAGGTGAAGGTGATGATTTCCTTCTTCTCATGACGGGACAGGGGGATGGGGTGGCGTGGAATAGATTGTGAAGAGGAGCTGCGGGAAGGGAAATGGTTGACTCCACTGCATATGGAGTCGTGTTGTCTGGATTTTGGGAATTCTATCATTGGCCAGGGGTAGATTTATGTTTCGATAAGTTGTTAGTGATTGATTTGATGAGTCTTATGATTGTTTGGGGTAATGAATGGAGTGTTTTGTTATACCACTAGAAAGGTTAGGTGGAGTAAGTTCCTATGCGGTGCTTGTTTACTGTTTTGTATTATGTATTATGTATATGATTGTATATGTATTTAGGCCTATGTTCGATATCTAGCTGTGCGAGTTATTTCAGATCCCGCGAAAACTCATTAAATAGAATGTACTCACCATCTCAAAAGACCATTATATTCTACCCAGAGCTTACCATTCACTCACCAAGTTTCGGCCACTTGATCCAACTCTTGATGACCTTCCAAGAATCCTCCGCTCTCTTAGCATGTTCATCCGGGACATTCTTACCTTCTTCAGCCATCGACCTACTGAACAATTCCATACTAACCCATCCTTGATAACCCAAACACTCAACAATAATCCTCGTAACCTTTTCAACCGGCAGATACGCCCCCCTTTCACTCTCCCCCGCAAACAACCTCGCATTCCTACTCCAACTCATTCGCGCAGGTTGTTCATCATCCCAAAATGCATGCCCCTTCACTAATGGCTCTTGCATTTTCTCCGCATCAACAACTTGGATGTAAAAAACTTTCTTCACATGAATCGTCTTTGCCAATCTCTCCAAACTTTCATTCAACGCTCTCTCTGCATTTTCAGTTTTTCCATCAACAGATGACGGATCGCCATATACCCTCCCAGCAATATTAAACGTATCCAAAACAAACCCGAAATTTTCTCGATCAACCCTCGTCACGATATCCCATCCCGCTTCCCACGTGTCGAAAAAGGTACTCCAGCATAGATTCTCGTAGGCGAACCGAACGGCTGGTTCCTCTTGCGCACCCATATCGGCTACTTCCTGCAGATCCGAAATGATGATATCCATATCATCAGTTAGTTTCTCCTTGGGCAAGAAGTTCGCGGGGATCTGTATGAGATCTGTTCCCAGGATCGTGACAATCTTAAACCAGAGTTTCATTTTCGCAATCTTCTCCGCATGCTCGTGTCTGTCTATCTTTCAAGCCCTCGTAGAAGGAAAATGGTTGCAGTCCGATGATGGTCATGTTTCATTCGTCGCAGAGCGCTTTAATGGTAGAAGCAGCATGGAGAAGAGCTTCTGGGGAGGGGGTCTCGCTGTTTGATTCCGCTCGTGCGAGATCTTCGAGATCTTTGTAGAATATCTCGAGACCGTGGATGTGGTGGGTGGAGGCGGCGGAGAGTTTGCTGGGCATGGAATGGATCCAGGCGCGACCTAGTGACATGGAGGATATAGCTGGTTTGAGGCCGTCCATTTTTTTGGGGGGGGGTGTGAAAAGAGGGATTTTTGGATGATTTTGGGGGGTAGTGGAAAAAGTGTGAACAATAAAAGGAGATGAAGCAGAAAAAGGGGATTGTGATTTTATAGATAGTGTTATATTTGAGGTTGATTAAATGTGAAGTGCTACTTCGATGTTATCCCAGCTTTGACTTGTAGAACTGGACCCCACGCTGCTCTATGACGACACTCACTTGAGCCGCTGTTGAGCGTCTCCCCCACATAGTTGAGAGGGAAGAGATTGGAAGGAGAAGTGTTTGTTTCTTCCTCTTGATTACATAGGTCAAGGTAGATAACGTTACGTCCCCCCTCTCCAAAGGTTTCAAGCTCTATGGGTCTCACTGCATGTATTGTCAGAATGTGCAAGAGTTTCGGCCGTCAAGCTTACATAAGGTTAACAGCATCATGTGATCACCAAACTATTCTCTTGTCTTATTGAGAGATTGAACGATGTTTACGGAATCAAACGATGGATTGTAGGAAGGATACAAGACTGAAATGCTCGTAGAGATGAGAGGTATCGAAATGACCAAGTTTCTCAGGCTCATTCCTAGTCAATATCAGGCTATCATCGAATGTGTTCTGATCGATATCGCCATCACAATTTTTGCCGTCGTTTTCCTATTTTATTCGAAGAGCAAACGGCAAACGGCATCTTGGATACGATTCATAATATTCGTCAGGGGGACTTTGCTACCATTCCTTGGTGATATTCGAAATAAATATCCTTGTTGTTAGTGACCATTCGTGTCGTTTTTTGCCGTCAAGTGATGAGTATCTCATCCCATTCAAGTGAAATGTTTGATTGATAAGATGCGAATCGTCGGATTGGTTGTCAGTATGTAGACCAATAATCATTGTCACTCAGAATACGAGACGTTGTTGTCGTTTTCTTCTATAAGAGACCTGTAGTCAAGGTCGCGTACCCATTGTATTTGCTCATCGATGATTATCCATGGTTGTTGGAAGACTTGTGATGCACTATCGTTGAGGATATTCCCGCAGGTCTCATATCTATTTCTGATGTGAACTTTGACACCTTGGGGTTTATCGAAGGGTGATATATGGATGGTGAGTTTGTGAATGCAGGTCGGGTTCCCAGACTGAGGTATTGGACTTGAAAGATATTGATGCTTGTCTGTGCTCGGAAATGGGGACTTCTTTTCTAGAAGGCATCTATGTTCCAAACAGTCGCCCCGAGACTGAACTCTCCCGAAGAGTGTCAGAAGTGATACAGTACAAATGCTTCATATCTCTTAAACTCGAGGTCCATCCCGCTGGTGCGGGGAAGATAGGAGGAAGCGCATGACCCCTCTATCAATTCACTAATTCATCTGCATCTACACATTCAGATTATTTTCCATTTCGTCCCTATTTGAATCAGCACTCTTCTTCTTTTTCTTCTTCTGCACTTTGTACTTTGCTTGAATTCAACAACACTTTAAATGCTTGACTTACTCGCACATCATTACTCGTCATCTTCCCGATCTTGAAGCTTTACTTTCATCACTCAGAATTTCCTCCTGCTGTTGCTCCAGCAAACCCGAAGCAATGACTACTGCACCAGATCCCAAACATCCAGACCTTCCCGGTTTAATCTTTGACTGTCCCCCTTCTAAGCATCGGACAAGTTCCATGAGACGCCTGCTTCGTCGCTATAATGTTCAAGTAAATGGAAACGAGAGAAAAGAAGACACACTTCATAAGCTTGTCGAACTCGAAAAATCTATCGGCGAGAGAGAAAAGGAAGCACTTGTGAACTGGTTTGCTGGTGAAGGTACTTATAGGGCTCTCGCAGCTTTGCTAGGTGATGCTACGAAGGTAATTATTATTATTTGATCTGAGGTTTCATATCATATCAATGTTTCAAGGGCCTTCGTGAAGTTGCTAATGGTTGGGTATTCTAGCCACCGATCACACCGAAAATTATTGATGAACCAGTAGCCAAGAAAACGAAACTCGAGGAATCCAATGATGATATCATCTTCGCCGCAGTCGATGCGTGTAGGGTTTGTATGGAGAACCTAACACCGGAAAAGTTCCCACAAACTCGCATAACTAGCACGTGTGCACACCATCCAGCGGTCTGTAATCAATGCTTGACTAAACACATCAATGATCAAGTTCAAACCAAGGCATCAAATCAGATTTCATGCCCCGAGTGTCCAGAGAAGATTTCCGAGGCGGAGATAAAGAAGTATGCATCACCGGAGGTTTTGGAGAGGTAAGTTAATTGGTTCTAATCTATCTTCACTATAATGACTAATTTATGTGCCAGAAAAGGAAGAAGACTATTAAATATATCTCTTCAGCATCTCCCAAACTTTACCTTTTGCCTTAGTCCTACTTGCGAATCAGGTCAAATACACACACCCGATCATCCAATGATGACATGCAGTACATGTGGTTTCAAGACATGCTTCATCCACAAACTACCATGGCACGAAGATCTCACATGCGCAGAATTCGACCTCTGCAATCAAGCCAGAGTTCAACAAGAAGCAGCCTCTGAAGCATGGATTGCAGAGTATACAAAACTTTGCCCAAATCCAGAATGTGGAATGAGAATCCAGAAGAAAACTGGTTGCGATCATTTGACTTGTGAGTGTATGTTGTATGATTTTCATTGTCTTCTTGTTATATCTAATAATTTCATATGCTGACCGAGATATTTGATTAATTGATAGGTGATTATTGCCTCGTCGAGTTTTGCTGGTGTTGTTTTGCCGATTTCAAAATGATAAAGAAACGAGGTAATGACCATCATAAAGAAGACTGTCGGTGGCATACGAAAAATGAAAACGGTATGCCTGGACATGGTAGAAGCCGTGAATCTATTCCTAAGAAGCCCAAGGAACCGAAGAAGTCGAAGAGACCTATAAAATCGAAACATTCCAAAGGATCGGATGCGGGACCGGCACCAAAAGAATCAAAGGAAGTGAATCTTCAAGAAGAATCTGAATCAACGTATAATCCGACTATTCCAGAGGATTTGAAACAGTCACATTCACCAGTCAAGCCATCTGAGGCAGCGGATGGAATGCAGGCATTTCAGTCAAAAGTTTCAGATGATGTTAAGCATTCATTTGAACCAAATGTTACAGAAGATTCGAAGAGACCCAATCAACCTCAAGAACCAGTTGAGCCTTCCAAACAAACGGAGTCGACAGAAGCATTAGGACTGAACGTTCCAAATCCACTAAAACGGCTTCGAGAAGAGTAAGCTATTATCATATGTGTTTCTACACATGTCTACAATTTGCAAGTGCGATGTTATTCCGAAACCACCACTGCTGCATGACCTTCTTTCGTTGGGTTTCGTTAATATTTTTTTAATGATGGCAGAGATGATGCATATCATTACTACCATAACTGATGGAATTTCTTCGGTGGGTTTAAATTGCTTTCAGAGTAGCGGGAGAGAAGTTGCATATTATTATCGCTATCATGAACGATGGCTCTTTTCGGTGGGTTTAGCCAAGAACTTACAATACGGGTAGATATAATGCATATTATTACTACCGTCGTTCGAGGCTGTGTTGATATGGGGTGATTTTAAACACCCCGGATAAAGACTGCGGCGACAATGGGATCTCGAGACCTACTTGGCAATCGAAGAACGCACTTCCAGCCTTTTCTGACTTCAAAATTCATTTCGAAAGGATGAAATAAGGGATAGTCTAAGCTTTTCAAATCATGCAATAAAAAATCATCAAGCAGGTAGAGTATTTATCCAATCTTTTTCACCGTGAAGTTCACATATCTCTCCATACCAAGAAAGTAAGAAGAATATCGGCACAATATTCCGAGAAAGAAACTCAACTTTCTTTCCATAAGTAGTAAAGAAGCATCGAATGATTACTGAATCTGTGGTTTAGTCTGGTCCCAGGGGCTTGGACTTGATGATTCGCTTCGTGACGAGACAACGTCGCACTAGTGAGATCCGTGCGTGTTTCTACTTCCCTCGTGAACCTTGACCCCGAAACTTCACACATCCATTGTGAGGTTATTGTGCATAAGGAGAAAAGAAATGTGGATTGGGAACCGGCTGGGGATTAAGGTTTGTAATAGGCTAAAACTTGGGCTGGGGTTTGTTTGTAAAGATTTTGAATATTTGTTTGCTTAGATTTTGTCAAATTTGAGCGATTGGAATTTTACTTCTAGTGAAGTCTTCTTTTGAATGTCCACAACAAGCCCCAATAATATATTCCTCGATAATCATGAACAACAGGCTTGATAAAGGATATTTTCGAATTATTATCATATGAAATAGTTCTTTATCAGATTCTACCCTGAGTCCCGATTGGACGATATTCCCAAACACTTCGCGCACAGACTAGTGGTAACCAAGATGCGAAGTTCTCACATCACCATTGCATATTTGCATTTTTGCGACCATTTGACAGGGCAAAATCTGTGAATACCGTTGGTATGAAACGCGCCATCTAGCCTTAGATGATCGCGGGTAGGAAAATCCAACCGTGTACGTTATGCATGTCGAAAGAATTACTCGTAGGTGTGGAGGTTGCAAGCGGCCTCAACTACTGTATGCTTTGTCCTCCCCCCGCGATTTCTGTCACTTTGGTTGATGTGGTTGTGATATTTTGATGTATGGTGTACATGTTGATGGAGTATTGAAATCGAGAACTGCGGGACAGAAAAAAGGAATTAATGAGTGGATTAGATTGGATGGATTGGAATGGTGCTGGTCACATATGTAGTTGAATTTTAGTATACTAAGGTAAGACTTCATTCCTATTGTATACTCACGTCAAGATGTTGGAGTATCAAAACTAATTGACAGTTCAGACCACTCGAGGGCGTCATGCACCTTACTCAATTTTCCCTCTTAGTCTTCGCGACAGGAACAGGACTATGCAATGCTTCTCTTCTTCGTCGAACCCCACAGCCCGCACCAATATCTACAGCTTCAACAACTCTTCAAACCGTCACATCATCACCTACATCTCCAACTCAACCCGAAGTTACAACACCACCAGGCCTCAAACTCGCTCAAATCGCAGGCATTCTCACAATCCTTCCAGAATGCAATCGCTACATCCTCTCAGCCTCCAGCGCTGTCTCCAGCGCTGTCTCTTCAAACGTCGCATCCAATGTATCTGACCAACTAATATTTCTTAGCACAGCCGCTGCAGCCAGTATTTCCATAGCACAAGCTAGCATCTCCGCCGCTGATGCCAGCGCTTCTAGTGCCATCGCCATAGTTCAATCATCCGCCTCGGCAGCATTGGCGAGCGCGAGCGCGGAGGTGATAAACGCCCAAGCAAGCGCCAGCTCAGAACTTGCAGCAGTATCGGCATCTCTTATTTCTGCGGCAGCTTTGGCAACATATAGTGCTCAAGCGGCGGCACAAGCTAAAGGGGCTGCGGCGACGGAGAGTGCGTGGGCTATTTCCAGTCAATTGGCTGATGCAACGTCGGCAGTACAGTTCTCGAAGGCGACAACTTTGCCGATGACGGTCGCGGTCGTATTGATTCTTGGAACGAGTTTTGCGAGTAGTGTTGTGAGTGTTCTGGTTTATCGATTTATTTCCAAGAGGAGGATAAAGCGGGAAAAGGAAAACGAGAATGATATGAGAGATGCACAGAATAGGGGTGGAAATGGATACTATGGTGCTGGTGGAATGGAAAAGGGTCCAAGGAGTTATAGAGCTCCACATCCGGGGTCATCATACAATTATCCCGCTACTCAACACTCCTCAGTTTCAACCTCACCCCCGAACGAAAAATATACTTCACGATATGCCCCTAGTCCGGAAGAAGAAGTTATCAACAGAGATTATGTAGAAGGAAACTATGAAAGAGGCGATGAGGATAATTATTCTACACACGATATCATCGATATTCAAAAGGAAATCGCGGAAATGGATTACCAGATGAAAATGGCCGAAGCGGAATTAGAGCGAAGAGACAGAGAACGATCTTTCAGAGCAAGTGAGAGTGGATTAAGCAGGAGTAGTAAGAGTATTAGCGTTCTATTTACTCCTAGAGACCTCCCCCAGAAAGCCGGAGAAAGGAGAGGAAGTGGCGCGAGGAGTATCATGAGTATGGGAATCGGCGAGAGATTAAGAAGCATGATGCCTTCATATCGACAATCTCAGGAATCTTCTTCTTACGAATCGAAAGACTTTTCAAAAGATAGCATGCGAAATTCGTCGAGAGAAATGACCGAGAGAGATTTAGAGGAAGGAGAAGAAATTATTTTCACATTGGATGAAAGACCGCCGCCGTTACCGAAATCAAACCCGGCGGCGGTAACGAGACCAACGCATACGTATACGAATAGTGATACGAGTGTTATGACGCTAAGTCCGAGTGTTTATGATGGTGGTGCGAGTAAGGGGGGTTCGAAGCAGGGCAAAGGGAAAGGGAAGGGACCTTTTAGATTTTCGATTGGGAAGGCTTATTGATTGAGCGTCTCGTAGTACAATGAGCAAAGATACTTTGTAGTTTTATTAGATATTTTATTTTCTTTTACTTTTGGGTTGGGCTGGGTTGGGTTGGTAGTTAGGGAGAAGGGAAGGGATAGGAAAAAGAGGGCAGGATACCAGAGATTTTAGAAGATCGTTTTATTTTATTTTTAGGTTATTGTATATGAATAATGAACAAAACTTTTGGGGTATAGATTACCTATTCAAAGAAAATGACTTTCATTAACAGTGATTCCATAAGAATGATGGTTTTTGTTCTCACAATGCTTTTCTCTTTCGAGCATGAAGAGTTTGAGAGAATGATTCGTATTAAATCCGAATCATCTGACGTTGTCGGCGGAGCAGTAAGTTCAGTACTAATTTCTCGCTGTGTGTCTACTTTCCGAGTTGCCTGGCGATGAGGAACATCATGATTTGAGCTATAGAACCACGGACAGTTGTATCGTCGTAAAGGACTCTGGAGAGAACACTGGATATCCGCAGGTAATAAAGTCGCACGTGGATCCCGAGATCACACATATAAATGCGGGGTCCATTTAGTATCAGTGATTCTCGGTTACTCCAGTTATTTAAAACTGGTCAAGCTGGTATGGGGATGGGATTGGTATTACTTGACAAAGGAAACTAGAACAGCACATGTCAGCAATCATGAGGTATGGTATGAGGGATGAAAAACGAGATACTTTTGACTTGTGAAATGTTGGATATAGATCTCACCTGGGAATAAAAATATACTTGCCGTCTTTATTCTCGTTTTTGTTGTCGATTCGCTATTGGATTTTGGTACTGTCGTATTTTCACACTGACGAACTAATCACTGACTTATCTACCATTTCGAAATCGTCAATCGTGAGGATTACCTTGTATTTTGAATATCATCCGAACCAATGTTACAATATCCTTATTGCCGTCCCAACTCGGCTGGGGGTGTCGCTCTCACAACATCTACACGAACTCCTGAGATAAAAAGTTTTACACCCCATAATTTTGAATCTGGAAGACTACCATCATCAACCAATTTGGTGCTTATTGATATCACTATGCTTATATGATACAGACTTGCACCACCACTCACAGCACGTGAAAAGATGAGTGCCATGTTGCACTTTTTGTGTTGGCTGGAAGCTTTTATCATGCTTGCGCTGGGTTTCTAGCTCACAAGATGCGCTGATGGCACTTGCCACTTTTAGCGATTCACTATAAAGACTCCGAAGATCGAATCATGCACTCATGTGGAGCACACTTCCGCCATTGAGGCTGGGGCATTTCTCTTTGATTTTCGTCTCCAGGACTTGTTATAAAGACTTCAGGATGCAGGCTGTTTGTTCAATAATTGCGAAGCATTGTCCATTTGCAAACACTGAAATGGATGGTACTGTTTAACCACTAGTGCGTAACGAGATGGTGTGATTTGGCGGGACCCGAATAAACGAGGAAGTACACCAGGTTTGATCTTAATCCGAGCCATGCTCTCTGTATCAACTGAGGGAATTTTGTGTTGAGCGACAGCAAAAACAATGGGGTTGATCGCAACAACAACAAATGCAATTGCCAATGTCACTTCGTAGGGTATTCCTAAACGGAACCACATTAGTTCTATGTCCTCTCGGTCTTGGAAAGGCGAGACGAACAGACAATCTAATCTAGCCACCAAATAAAAACGCATCGTCCGAGAGATTCTTCTTCATGGCAGGCAGCTCACGTTCTCATGTGGAATATTTATGAGAAATTTCTTTTTTTGAGGCTGTCAAGGTACGATTCACTAAGTGACAGAAAACCAGAGACGTAGAGTATGCGGGGTGGAGACCACGGAAGTAAGTAAGACTGCCCTGCCCTGCTCAAGCACATGAGGTTACCCACTCGCGTAGAAGATTCGTAGAAAAACAGCATAAATACTTCTTGTCCTTCCCCCCAAAATTTGAGAAATGACCCAAGCAAAGAGATTGAAAACGAAAAAGTGTAGGGTCACTTCGTAGCAATTTTTGATCTCCAATCTTGAAAGTTCAATAAACGTCACTTTCGGAGAGAATGTCAAAGAGATCAAACGCTGGGAAATACGAGCATTGTCAAGTTGCAACTTTTGTCGCCATATTTGTTTTGGGTTTCGGACGAATAAATCTTGCTGTCGGTTTCTAAATATATTATCAGATCGAAGCTCACTTGAACCTCGAAAGATTCCATCTCAAGAACCGGAAGGGGCAACGCGAAGAACGAAGAAGGACTTTCAGACCTTCGAGCTTTGGCCGCACCCATATTTTGAGTCGATTAGAATTTGTTGAAGTGATTGTCTCAATCGGTTACAAGATTGACGTCTCTTAAATGGGTATCGACAGATAGGGAAAAAACTTGATTTGCTGCGTAGGCAAGTAGTGAATTGATTCATGGGTAGATACCACAGGATCTGGGTTTGTTATTTCTCATGTTTGGGGGTCAATCATGATCTCCTTTGGAACAGGGCAGTGAATCTTTCTAATTACTTACTACATTAGAATAAATCATCCATACCTACCTACGATATTTACTCGAAGAAAAGAACGCTGTCCAAATGAGGTTGATATTCCAAGTCACAAATATTGTATTCTCCACCCCCACAATGTTGAGGCAAGGGGTAAGTTCTTATCCGAGACCCAGTTTTATTCCCCGCAATCAACCTCTGTGCAAATCCTCCACCAAAATTCCAACCTCAAGCAGTAGAAGTGCAAGCCACTACAGTCGGCATAGTAATCCGAGCCTCGACAATGGATGAAAGCAACTCCGTTGAATAGCGTAGGTTAAGTAATCTGGGTTTCTTTTCTCCATACATCTCAATTCCATTCCATACTCACCATCACACAAACAAACAAACAACTACAAACCATCAATTGAAATCTCATATTAAAACCACCACAATGGCCGTCAAAAAGATCCTCCTCCTCAACGGTCCAAACCTCAACCTCCTTGGGACTCGTGAACCCCACATCTATGGTTATGACACCCTCGCCTCCATCGAATCCTCTCTCACCACCTACCTCTCCTCCCTAACACCCTCCGTCACTCTTCTAGCCTTCCAAACTAATTGGGAAGGTGCGCTCATCGATCGTATTCACGAAGCGCGTACTGATGGCACCGATGCTATCGTTATAAATCCTGGTGCTTTCACACACTACAGCATAGCGCTGCGAGATGCGTTGGCTGGTGTTGATATTCCATTTGTGGAGGTGCATATTAGTAATGTGCATAAGAGGGAGGAATTTCGTCATAAGAGTTTTTTGAGTGACAAAGCGGAAGCTGTTATTTGTGGATTGGGCGTTTATGGGTATAGAGCAGCGGTGGAGTGGTGTGTAGGATATTTGAAGGAGAAGCCAAAAGCGTGAGGGGAGGGACGATCACAATTTGATGCGGAAGAGTATAACATCAAGTGTATATCTAGATATGCAGAATTTCAAGGAAAAACATATTCAACAACCTTAAAACTCATTGAAAGAGACGGGTTGAACAAACTTCCGAGTGGTAGTCTTTCTCAGAGACATCTCCAGCCATCCCGGGAATTCCGGGTTTCCAAGCCAAGTATAAAATCCGATTTCTGGAGAGCCCTGTTAAGTTTTTGACCCAGGTTGTAAACAGTTCGACCTGTGTATTTGCTAATGAAGAGCGGGAATTCCGCCTTTGGGCTAAAAATTAGTAGCATGTGGTATGCGTCAGGTATCAATTCCTGTAATCTGGAATCCATGTTCTTTCTATGCAATATATGTTATTTTCATTGTCAAACTTCATATCCGTTTAGCGATGTATCTTCAGTCCAACGGTGGAATTTTCATAATGACAACAAAAGTTATAACGGCCATTTCGAAGTAAGTATATAGGCTCAACTTCGAATTTGGTTTGTAGCTTGATCATCCTATCAATTTCAATCTTCTAGGAAGTATGTTTTGATGAAAAGATACTCTACCAAAGCTCTCTCCTAGGTTTTCATGTCGAATACCTTTAGACTTTTGATACCGACTTCTGAGCACACCGGTGTCTTATTTATACCCAGGATTTGTAGTCAAGATTTTGATAATCCGGGGAATAGTTCAAGTCGATTTTCGGAATCGAAGTTGACTCTGAGATTATCTATTGATATAAAATGCAACTGAAATTATTCTCGAATTCTTAAAGTGTTTCCTGATGATCCAGAAATGGACAAGGGCTGTAATGATAGACGCAGATTATGCAGAGATATTATGAGAGAACTCAATCAACTTTCTTTATTACGCGCAATAGTTTGAGGAGTTGCAAGGGAATTTTTCTCAGTCGTCGTTAGAGTGTATATGACAGTGTGCATGATATTGGATGATATTGACAACATTACTACATGGAACTATTCATTCGTTGAGTTTAGTGCTTGCTGCACTTGAACACTGTGACTTTCTCTAGCCTTTTACCAGAAAGCATAGGACATAACCGCCGCCAAGTAGCATATAATTTGTGGTTTCATCCAAGTGGTTCGACACCTAATTTATACTTGGATGTTGAAGATATGAGCTGAAGTGTAAGAAGGCTCTAATAACAGTAAAACTTTGTCCCAGAGCTTGGGATTAGTATCGCTATGAGTAAATGCATCACACCGAGCTATATAAATTGTATTCAAACTCACTAAGAGCTCACCAATATGCCCATACTTTCCATTAAGAATGATTTGAGGGCCACGAGTCTATGATTAGTAAATTGTTATCCCGAAACTGCCAAGAACACTTCTTATAGCGCTCAAGCTGTTCAAAAGCACATTTCCCCTTCCTCTCATTCCTCTCATTCCCCTCATTCCCCTCATTGTAGCAATGATGGCAATGAAGATCCAAAATTGACGAAAAAACTACACAAATCAACCGCGTTCCAAGATTTGAAACACCTACAGAGGCCACGGTATCATCAATACCGTCATCATAATATCTTTCCCGAACGAACAAACATCAGAGCCTTGAAAAAGCCTGAGGGCGAGTTTGAGTATTCTTTGCAGGTCTCTCACAGGCAGGTATGTAGTCTTATTGATACCCTGGTTTTGAGAACGTCAGGTTTACAAGGTGAGCTTGATGCGAGTTCTAAACTTCAAGTGAACTAACATGTTTTATCTCGGATATGGCTGGTGGATCCATTTCGAGTAGCATAAAGACAATGGACTTCGGTACCATCTTTTCTCAGGCAATCCTAATGAATGAAACATCTTCCCTAGTCAGGATGATATTCAGCATTACTTTATCAAATTCCTACGAGTTGGGTAGTACTGAGTATACACTGTAACACGAGTGGATTGATCCTTGGGGATTTTATTCGAACTAGCACTTTTTAAAATGACAGCGAGATACATATGACGAAAGCCATAAGCCGCGTCGACAGTAACATCTCGTGTTTGAGGTATTCTCTAAGAGCTGATATACACAGTAATTTCTCCACTTATGCCCTACACCCATGAAAATTGCAGTTGAGTCTGACCCAGAACAAACTTCTGCGAAGATCATGACGGTGTCCTCCGGATCAGCCAACTTTCCATCCTGCTCGAGCCATAGCCTGTTCGTCTTTCAAGGCAGTTTTCTTATACCAACCCCAGGGATGTATTTTTTGTCGAACACCAAAACTCATATCACTTATTATGTTCTTCTGATCAATTCCTTACTTCTATACTCAGCATAAACTCCACTGTGGTAATTCGTTGCAAGTGAACAAAAATGCATTGTTGTCCTCTAATAGCTGATTTCAAGGTAGCACTGTGTTTGTGGATACACTCACCTAGCTCTCAGTCAAAGTATATAAAAAAGTATGCCTATCGATTCAGGAATGTAGGGGTAGCAGTGACACCTTTGCAACAACGGAAAGGAGAGATTAGACCAAGCACCAGATATGAAGACCGAAATTCCCCCAATGACCAGTGGCTTCGAGGTAAGAGCGAAGATACAAGCAGGATAAATACAATCCTCCATTCTAGTCAATTCCCGAGTTTGTTATTTCGACAGCGAGGATTTAAAAATGATAGCGGAGTTCATACATGACAAAGCGGCTGCGCTCGATGAGAATATTTTTACTATAATATATAATTACATAATTCCTTTTTCATTCCAAGATAACCCAGTATATTGCCTCCTATCAGGGAACACTGTATCGAAGAAGCTAGTAGGAAAATCCATATATCTATCGGTGGGATTGTTGAGCTCCATCTCAACAAACTATTCAGATATTGGTAGGTTGAGCTCCATCTCAACATACTATTCAGATATTAGTAGTGAAACTCAAAATAAATTGCATTTGATGAGCATACCGGGTATGCATCCACAAGAAGGGATTCTGTCTTGGGCGCAAGGATTTCTGCAAGGCTGGGCGACTCTTCGTTCGTGGTAAGGGAATGATACTTCTGATTATGTTTATTTAGGAGAGCTCGTGTAACAAACCCTATCGTGAAATAAGCACATGAAGAGTGTGCGCATTGATACCGACGTTGATGATGTGACTCGTGCTTGTCCCGTTGAGAAGAAGTTGCAAAGCCGTCCGCATTACGGACACATTCTACATATCTGCATAGGAAAACTGAGGCGCCATAAGTCTCTCGAAGAACTTGGATATCCATCTGGTTGATATTAGGAAACTCTGCCGGAGCATTTGTTCCCAACAGAGACTCGATCGTTTGTTGAAAATGGTGGCCAATAGCACTTAAGTGAGTTGGATCAATTTCACATAAATCCAGTGAGATTCCTACTGAATTTTAGACAAGATATCGAACGTCGAATGGTGAACTTACTTTCCGGAGACTTGTCTAAAGAAGCCTCCAAGTGCAACTTTGACCGGGCTTTAAACCGAAGAATATCTAACATTAACATTTTAATTTCAGGCAAATGACTCAAACCTTGCAAACCCTGATTCTCGGTGATAGCTCCAGTATTTTCTTGTGTGTCTTTTGGTAGGGTGATTTCTTTCCTATAGCGTAACAAAGATTGCAGTTGATCTAGAAGCTCTGTCGGGAGTTGAGCATGCTTCTGAAAACACTCTAGGAGATGCTTGTACCAGAACGCAATGGCATACGTGAGCAGACCATGAAATCCTTTTACGACGACAGTAGCCCTTTGAGCTTCTGTGAAGTTACTTGGAATTAAATTGTCGCAGGAATTCATTATAGCGATGCAAGAGAAAGAGATGTTGAGATGTGCGCTTTCACGTGACAGAAATGGCAGCTTCTCTTGATACTCTTCGTCAAGTAGATATCTGTAAAAGGTCAGCCACCTTATCCTTCAATTTTATAAATCTCAAGGGGTTTGCTACTCTTTTGCTGAGAAATGCACGAATTCGACTGTATTTGCCGGGCCCTCTTCTATAAGAGGACGGCAGAGATCCAATGCTCTTTTTCCGATTTTTGTTTTAGACGTAAGAGCCCAATTTGAACGATCAATTGCAACTCCATCAAGGATTTCGTAGTTTTTAAGTACTCGATAAGAACATGCCATCCATTCCAGAATACGAATAGCCATGAATCTTGCCGTCTCGGGGTTGCTAGGATCCATGATTCTGTCGAGAATTCGACCATACCTAGTAGATATCAGTTACATGTCCTGTTATAACGAGTGGTATCTTACGCTGCCTTCAATCCTTTCGGTAAGCCCATGACTGCCCTTTCTAATGCTTCATCACTGTAGCAAAATTTGAGCTCGTCTAAAACTAGCCGAACCCATAAAAACATACCTAACGATGTTAGTATCGCTGTTTCTTTTATGGCATCAAACTTGTTTACCATTCGCCTTTTCCATCAAAGTTTTTTCAATTCTCTCCAATAAGTCCTGATCGGAAGTGTCAAGTTTGGATACTTTGTATTTCAGGTAAGAACGAATGTCTTGATTGACTTCTTGGCGGCTGTCTAGAGCGATGTAGGGTTGTTTGAGAAGCTTTTGGCGAATGTGTGCTTCTTTTCGACTAGAAAATAAAACCTTGCATTGCAGCGCTGGAACAATACAAATAGTGCGAAGTTCTTTCAATATCACTTTTTGATCTTCTTTTGAACATTCATCCAAGCCGTCTATAACGATTCTTGTAGATGCAACAGTCTGTAGAAGCTGTGGGACTAAAGTTCTGAGCTGAGTCATTGTACAGTCTACCCCTCGATAGACAAACTCATTGGCAACCAGAGTGGAAATCTCATGGTGCTGCCTAAGAAGTTGAATTGCAACGGTTGTTAGGATCTGCTGGCAAACATTGCCAGAGCTGCGGCCTTCACAATAATAATAACATGTAGTCAATCCAGGCCTCTCTATCAATCTTTGGATTATGTACGAGCATATAACGCTCTTGCCTTGAGTAATGGAATTAGCCATATTATTACCTTCGAATTTATGACAGAGGGACAAACCTGATCCCGGCTTGCCATGAAGCCAGAGGCACGGATCTTCCGTGTTATTCTCCATCCAACTCTTAAGTTGCTGTTCCCCTGCCATCCATTCGCACGTCTTATCATGACGCTTTTTGGAGATTCTGTCATGCTCGGTTTCTTGATTCTTCCCATCAAGAGTGAACCATGCAATGGCATGTTGCAAACGATTAGCTTTCGCAATCCTTTCATTCTCTTCGACCATTTCTAACTCTCGCTTCTGTCTCAGCCGTATGTCGTCTTGCATTTTAACTCGTGACTCTCTGGACTCGACAATATCAAAAGAAACGGCCTCTATGTCGATAAAGTCTCGATGTTTCTTTAAAGAATTGATGATAGAATCAAATCGGCCCCCGAAATCCTTCCAAAAGGAAAGAAAGATAACATGCCAAGCTATATTCTGTTTTCAGTACCAGTAAAAAGGATCAGAGTAGATCTACTTACCTCTTTGTCGAAGAAATTTGTAAGCGCGCTGATGAAATTCCAGAATGTTAGTATATACAGTAGCAAGGGATTGCTGAAATTCGACATTGTTATCAAATGCCTTTTGATATCGGTCAAATCGTGGTAAGGCTTCACCAATATCAACATATGCTGAGATCAAGGCCTCAAAAATATCACGATGGTGACTCGCGATCTACTAAAGAATAAGCTTGAAGTCTGTACACAAATCATGAGATACCAACCTGAAGCATAAGCTTAATTGGAGCCTATGTAATAATTATTATCATCGTTTTCTTTCTTCGATTAGGTAGAAGGACACGAACCCATATGAACGACAAGTAAGGTGTGCCATTGCATAAAACTTCAACTATCTTCGAGTACTTTTCAATACCTCGCAAGAAAGGTTCGATACGACGTAGATTCTGACCAGATTGCCGTTGTCTTTGTGTGCTATCGATCTGGCGAACAGCCACCCATACATCTTTTAGCTCTGTTGAGGTGAAGTTATGCGCATCTTGTTGGGAGATTGAAGATTTGAGCCTCTTGAACGCACCAGCAATGGTGTCATGGGGGCTCGCCATGAGGTCTCTTTAACAGTATGATTTACTGTATATCGAAGAATTACGTTCTATACGAATTGAAAGCGACCGAAGAAATTCATCAGCTTTTCATGGTCCACGTATCTGCGTTTGCTAAATGAGGCGCAGTGAGGCTGGCCATATGTTGTTTGCTCCGCTAACCTTAATATACAACCGTCACGGAAACTACCGAATCAATAGTCAATCAACTTTATCATAATATTTATTTCTCTAGCTGCTCATTGCTGTGGTATTTGTGTTTTCTTTAATCTACGAGTAGCATATCTCCGGAAGGAAAGTTTTCAATCTTGACGATGTCTTACGAAAAACGACCAGCCAAGCGTATGCGGGTTAACAACGCTGGAATCCATGAAAGCGAAATCACAGAAGATGAGGCATTCTACTCGCCTACCGTTGAAAGCTCGAATGCCCTAGGAACGGTTGAGCGGGAAGTATACGAATGTTGTTATGGAATGGTAAACAAGATTTGAACCTCTCTAAGACCCTTTCACTAATTAATAATAAAATACATAGTTAAGCGACATAGCCGTAAAGAAACTATGCAGTTCAGAGACGCATTCAAGTCCTATACATGTCGAATTTCATAGTCCTAATCATCTTTCCTCGGGTGATGATCAGCACTCAACTACCTTCGACATATCGGACTTTGCATCGGCCAAAATCCTCAACGACTTGGCAAGTGTTCCAGAGATCAAAATGCAGTTATACTGCCATTCAAAGATTGAATTCGGCCATGGAGGACACAGTCGAAGGATGATCAAACGTTCTAAAACATCGCGTGGACTATGGTTTTTGAATACAATAATATTTGGTCCAGAACGTTTTGCTGAAAAGATAGGAGAATACTTGTCAATCAGGAAGATGTATCTTCAAGATACACTTGGGTGTGAACGGTGCGTTCCGTACCGGAATCCCCATGCCATGACCCCCGAGACGGGGGAAGTTGTGATGACAAATCTATCTATCTTGGCTCCCGGAAATCACGATATAGAGGAATTGAAATCCGGACCAGATCTTCTAGCGCAGTTGATGGAAGGGGAGGCTCCTTTGGGAGAGACCGAGGCACCCAAAATTGTGAAGACTTCCTTATTCAGGTAAATTACTAGCACATTCATAAGGCATCGTCTACAGGGACTTATGGAATCTTCATTATAGGCATCAAAAGCAAGCTCTGACTTTCCTGCTGCGTCGCGAGGAAGGTTGGAATTTTGATGATGCAGCTTCTGACATATGGAGTTGGCGGAGTGATACTTCGGGGCGATTAAGGTACACCTCCTCATTCCTCTAATCAATTTCTATGTTGGCTGAAACTATTAGTTACGTAAACAATGTCACCGGATACAGCACATGTGAAGCTCCTCCAGAATTCCGAGGTGGCCTACTAGCGGATGATATGGGATTGGGCAAGACGCTCACCATGATATGTTTGATAGCTTCAAACCAAGCTTGCTTAAATTGTGAATTACCGCAGGCTCATTCTCATCCTTCTGAATTGAGGCTTTCGAATTTGTCAAAGGCTACACTACTGATTGTACCTCCAGCATGTACGTTCCAGTCTATGGCAAAGAAGTTCATTTTCCAATTCTAACAAAAGAATAGTGATACAAGCATGGGAGTATCAGTTTCGATTGTAAGTCTACACATGTTTCTCTCAAATTGAAGTTGCATGGCATGCATCCTTGCACTCGTGCTACATTTATGTGGTACTAATATATCTAGACATCTCGTACCGCGAGCACTAGCTTGCCATATCTACCATGGCAACAACAAAAAAAGCATGGATTTTCTCAGACAGTTCGATGTTGTCATCACTACATACCACACTATTGCGGCCATCTGGAAGCATCACAGCGCTCATCCAGATGATGAATCTTTGTACTCTTTCACTTGGCATCGTGTAGTTCTAGACGAAGGTGAGTGCAGTAAGTAGTACAAGCTTCGGGCTTATATCTAACTTCAATAGCTCATATCATCAAAAACCCTCAGAGCCAGCTAGCTCGAGCTTGTTGTGCTCTCAAAGCAACAAGACGCTGGGCGATAACCGGAACTCCTATCCAGAACAAACTTGTGGACTTCGCCAGCATTGTAAAATTTCTGCGCGTTTATCCGTATTCCGATACAAGAACTTTTTCAGAAGAGATTACAAAGCCATTCAGAAATTCTTCCTCGATGGATGCTAAAGGACTTTTACGACTCAAAACACTTGTGCGGGCTATTACTATTAGTCGCACCAAGACAGTCATTGAACTTCCATCACGGGTTGACGAGGTTCACCATCTCGATTTTACCTCGGCTGAGCGAGAGAAATACGAGGCTGAGAAAGTGCGAGCGAGAGGGTTAATGGAGAGAGCAATCTCTTCTGGGAACCAGAGTGGAAAAACGTTCAATGCGCTGTCACTACTCAACCGCTTACGTCTGATCTGCAATCACGGTATGTTACAACTTACACCTACTACTGATCATATGGTGTCTCAAGGAAGTGAAGTTGTTGCTTGTTGCTCCATATGCGGCGACTATCTACAGGAAGAGGTCTTTGGTGGCCCTTTTCCCTCGGGTATTGATACTCAAAATCAACCATTATGCGAACAATGCATTCTTCAAGAAAGAGATAGCTGTGACCGATCTCGGAGTAACAGTTCAAACTTCCCAGATACAGCAGAAGATTTGAGATCTGTGACACCGCCAACAGCTACAGATACTGCATTTTCTATCCAACACATGTCGACAAAAATCAAAGCGCTTTTGGCAGATCTCCATAAATACAAGAATGCCGAAAAAAGGTTGATATATTCCAATAGGACCTAAAAGTATCCCAGAAACTAATATGTGACAGTGTCGTCTTTTCATACTGGACGAACACGCTTGATCTTGTGCAAATGATGCTGGATAATCAAGGAATAAGCTACACAAGAATTGATGGGACAATGTCCCTATCCAAAAGAAACGAGGCTTTAGGTGCATTCAAGAACAAAGATACCGTTCGCGTAATTCTTGTCTCAATCACTTGTGGTGGTGCAGGGTGAGTTATATCCATTGCAAGTATTAGTTTTAGCCACTGATGGGTACGAGCAGGCTCGATCTTACCACTGGGTCGAGAGCATATCTTCTCGAGCCACATTGGAACCCAATGATTGAAGAACAAGCTCTCTGTCGTGTACATCGAATTAGTCAGAAGCGTAATGTTACTACCATTAGATATCTGATGCATGATTCGTTCGAAGAGGTAAGTTTACCCACTTTATGTCTTCCATTGAGATGGGATTTGACGAGAGCTCCTGGTAAAACTTATGATATTCTAACAGCTTACAGCAAATCGTGGATCTTCAAAAGAGAAAGAAGATGCTTGCAGATGTTACGTTTAGTCAAAATTGTATTTCAGAGGCTGGCGTCGATATGGGTATTTTACAAGTATGTTTCCCAATTGAACTTTCACATTTCGTTTGTAATTCTGACAGCTATCCAGTACTTGAGATCTGTCCTTGAGTAATATCATAAGATAGGTCTGAGATTATTGTTCAGCTATACGATTGCACCTTATAAGATGTTAATATCTAGCAAGAGCCAAATCCATAATAATGGATTGCAGGTTCGCTATCGTCAAGTCAGGATACTCTCCCCGCCGGATTAAACTAAATTCCTCCGCCAGTAAATCGAGGTATATACTCGGTATGACTGGAAAAGATACTAAAAAAGTGAGAAAGAGGTAGAATTCAGAGATATAAAGATACTCAGATAGCACATATAGATAATCTCTGGTTTAGAAGAGCGTGGAAGTCAAAGTTGAGTGCACGATTGATGGAACATCACTTGATGACTGAGTTGTTCAATAGAGTTAGAGTACGCCAGAGACAGATAGTAGAATGGCTGGAGGGGAAGCTGAAATGCACCGCCGGACTCAAGCTGTGGATGATCTGCTTTTAATGGGCTTCTGATAGCTATGCATTAAAGAGCTGGTGATATATAGATATGTACTAATAGCATGCACACTTGTCCATCTATGAGTAAGTAGCAGTAGAAGTAGTTCAAGATATCATTTGATGCTGAAATATTTTACAACGAAAACAAATTTACCGCAAAAAAATATCTAAGTGTGCACTTGCACTTGCAATCGCAACTTTCAAGAGCGATTCTGATACAATGTATTGATTGTTTAGTTGATGGTCTTATCCTATAGTAACCTACAAAAAATAAGGGCCGTAGCTCAAAAACACACCAAAAACAGTCATTATTTAACCTTTTTATTTCTGTATATTTAGAGGGTCTTTGAATTTATTATAATGAGATTTCATTACAATATAAAAAATTAGATTAATTTTAATAAAAACAAATTTTTTTTTTCATAAATTATTTCGCCTTAATATAATCAATCAAAATCGATTGAATTAAAAAGTTCGATTTTGTAATTGTTACGATTACATACTAGAGCACATTATAGAGGTCAAATAACTAGAATAAGAAAGCTAAAGAGGAAAGAGATCCTTAAGGGATCTCTTTATCTCTTATATACGTCTAGTTCAAGCTAGTCTTGAACTAGGCTGTGATGAGTCATCATGTGTGTCACGTGATATTCGTCACAGTGATATTTTTATTAGTAAATCCATCGTATTTTTCGAATTTTCAATTTTTTGGATTTTAAATTATAATATCAAGATCGAATAAATCTCTAAAAATATTCTATCTATTTTTAATTAAAATTTTATTAAATTTCTATTATATTTGAAAGTTTGAAATCTAAATATTCAATTGATAAAGAATTAAAGCTCTTTTAAAACACTAAAAAATGACTATTTTTAGTATGTTTTTGAGGTACGGCCCTTATTTTTTTATCTAATACTATATCTAGTTACGAGGGCATGTCTTTGATGAATGCCGGGTCCGTGCGCAAGCACTTTTTCATACCAAAATTCACTCAAATTCATATATTTTAGAATTCAATATTAAATCAATCAATATTATTATATATTTGAAATTTTATAAAAATAATAATTTTTATTGAAAATTTGATAATATAATTTTAGTTTTTTCATTGAAGTTTTCAATTAAGTTAAAATTTATATTGAATTTTTATACTTAAAATTTTTATGAAAAATAATATTTATTTTAAAAATCAAATTTCTATATAGAATTTTATTATTAATTTGATTCAAAAATTAGTAATTTTAATATTAAATTAATTATGAATTGGTTCTCTTTATATAATTCACATTTCAAAGTTTTATAATGAATATTTGAATTATTATTTATTTATAAAGATATAAAATAAAGCATAGTTTTGGTAAGGAAATTCACTTAAATTTCAGCTCGGTATTCATCAAAGACATGCCCTCGTACATAGGATTGGCGATACACGGAGCTAGCAATAATATGATTCGATATATGTGTACGACGTCTCCTAGTTTGGGACAAGCGAATATGCTCAGGGGTATCTAGATTTTCGAGATTCGATTGAATATTCGAGATGTGATTGAATATTAAGTATTGAATTCTGGATTACCCGTGAGTACCTATGTACCTATGGAAGATGATAGATAGGTGAGTGAATTGTAATAAATACATGTTTATGCAATTGTATTATTTTATGCAATAATTCAATGAATAAGGATGATTCTTCAAGAGGATTCGAATTCATCTAGAATTAGGTATTCTTTCTAGTCAAATGTAGTATTTGCGGAGACGTAAGCAATATATCTCTGGGGAGCCACATTACACATAGATTTATTCGACGACTGTGATGAGAGAAAAATCCACGAATAGTCTTGATGGAAAATCGTTTGATATTGAATGGTTACAGTAAAGACATCAGACCAATTGGATTCTTCTCATAGTTTAGATCAAATGCGTATCAAACGTGTTAGATACCCCAATCTGCTTAGTGGAGGTGGAGGTAGAATGCATGATGACGAGGACGACGACGGAAAAGACGGGGAAGAATGGAGAGAGTGGAGAAGAGATGGAGAATACAATGTAAGAATGGGAAGAGGATGTAGGTGTGTTCATAAGTAGAAAATACCGCAGCGGAACAAGAGCGGATGTTGAATGGGGACATAACTTGACTGTTGAAAGTATTCCATATACAGTAAGTAGGTACCTACTTGTATACCTCGATACTCTTCACAAATGATGATTATTCCCAATTAGACATGTTGATTGATACTTAAGCATCTACCCAAAACCATTCAACACATTCCACTCCAGAATTCACCATTCTCACGAAACCTTTCCAAGAGAGAATCAACCAATTCTTTCCTCCGTTTGCAATTCCAAATACGAAGTCCGTATCTAAAGTTCACTCCTTCCCAAAGCAGCCATCCAAGCGATAAGTAAGTTTTTTTACCGGAGTTGGGGGAATTATTATCGCCGAAAACGAACAGAATGAAGCCTCCGCACGATAAGAATGTATGTATGGATGGATGGATGGATGGATATGTATGTATGTATGTATGTATGTATGTAGAAAGGTAGTATGTGATGGAATGTAACTTAAATGATTCCATTTCGATCCAATCCAACGCCAACAAATGATTTTTTAAATTCAATTATACGAGTACGTACTAACTAGTTTGATAACTTTACAGATTATATACATTTACTCACTAGTACATACATACATACAAATATACATACATACATACATACATACATACATATATATATATATATATATATTACATCCTCTTGAAAACATAAAGATTATATCCAAGTATTTATCTATCTACTAGCTATCTACTATCTATCTATTAAATATACAATCACCTCTCTTCTTCCTCTTCTCACAATTACAATTTGCTTCACATTATCTTAATTTTCACCATTATATGAATCCAATGAAACAAAGCACAAATCACCCCCATCCATACATAATCACAAGAACCATCACACCAAGAAAATGACCCCTTTACCTTTACCTCTCCCTTTCCCCCAAAGACACGCCCAAGCTTCACACCTCTCTTCCTCATCTCCACTGCGTCATTTCAGCCTCAATCTGGTCTTAGCAAAAGATTCCATCCTGATCAATAGTTATCAACCACCATCACGTAAATCAAGACTAAGACGACTACCGTTGAATTTAGTGCGCCTACCTATTTTAGAGGAATTGGATGGGATGAGTACACTTTTGGGTGAGTTTTTGCTTCTTTTGGCGCGTTTTGATGGGAGATGATGAATGGATTATTATATGATGTGAATTATTCGAGCGTGGACATATCTTGAAAGGGAAAGAAATCAATGAGAAGGAAGGCAGGATTGATGATGGTTGATTGATTAATGGATCGATAATTTGATTGTGGAATTCATTTGCTGATTATGGTTGGTTTTACCAAACGATTAGTCTCAAAGGCTAGAAAGGTATGTGTTCAGTGTTTTGTTTCGTTTGCTTCGATTTGATTTGAAGATGCATAACGGGTTATGGATGGCGAATGGTGCATGGTAAATGCTAGATCAGGGAGAGAGCGAAGAAAAATATATATCATTTGAAAGCTGCGCTGGTGGCAGATGAAGATTCATTCGATGAGGGAAAAGGAGAGGAAGGAGAAAACGAAGATATAGAGATCCATCATTCATACCTGCATACATATAAACTAACAATCATCTCTCCAGCCAAAATTTGATTTTATCCTCAGAGTAAGTTATCCTTCAACGATTCCAACACATTCACACCTCTTTATTCCCAACCTTAACTAACCTCCCCCCTCAGTTAATAGATCTCAACAACGTCCCTCTAACCAGTGGAACCGCATACATAAAATGGCACATCTCTTCCTCTGTTGCTTCCGAGCATTCAGGACAAACCCCTCGCTCCCCCATCAAAGAACATAAAGTCCATTGGGATTACACTCGATCCATCCCCGTCCGTCTCACAATCGATAAATCCAACCATCTCTCCGAATGTCTTATCCATTTCGAAGTCATCCAAGATTATAATTCTGGAGCTACCTCGAAAGGAGAACGAGTCACTCTAGGACACATTACGTTGAATTTGGCGGAATATGTGGAAGAGAGTGAGGTTGAGGGAGAGGAGGGAGTGGTGAGGAGATATCTAATGCAGGATAGTAAGATTAATAGTACGGCGAAGATTGGGATTAGTATGCGACAGGTCGAAGGAGAGAGAAATTTCGTCGCGCCAATACTGAAGAGTGCGCCTGTTTTCGGAGGGATCGCGGGAATCATGAAGGGCGAGACGGGGGACAATGGTGATGATATTGGTAGTGAGTTTATGTCCTTTTCTTCATCCTTCCATCTATCTTACAATGCGCAAATGGGACCCGGGATGCCATACTAATTCTTCTATAAGATATGCCACAACTTCAAAAATCCTCTGATAAATCCGATCTTCACGATATGTATCGACGCGCCCTCGCTGCCTCTTGGACTTGTTCTCCTGCCGAAATGCCCGCAGATGAATGTGTCGAAGATATATTCGCCGGCGGAGATGGCTGGAAACGCGATCCGGATTCTTCCAATTTCGATCACAATGAGTACAGTCGAGACATGCCTCGCATAGTACAAGATGATAGGGAATTAAGCGCGAGTGGGGGAAGCGGAGAGGACTTGAGAAGACATAGGAGAAGTCATAGTGATGCGAGTCAAAAGAGTAATCTAACCACATCATCTTCTGTTCCCGGAGGTGGGAAAGTGGGAAGAGCAGATGGGAGAGGTCATCGATATAAAAGAAGTACCGATACAACACGCAGTGGGGTTTCATCAAGTGGAGGCAGGAGCGTGAGTGCACAGTCTGGACTCTCGAGCATGGGGGATAGAGATGATGAGATTTCGATTATGGGGAGTGGAGAGAGGGGAAGACAGGGCAGAGGTCTGGGCCATATTCCGGGGAATCATCATGGGTATGTGAGGCCGAGGGAAGTGGATGAGTTTGATATGAGAGAGGATTTGGTGGCGTGGAAATTACCCGGGGAGGTTTCTTAGATGGATATGGATGTGGATATGGACATGGAGGGGAAGGGGGGCTTGTGTATAGATAAATGGTAGATTGGACTGGGCTGTATATTGGATGGCGAAAAAAAATAGGCTGGCTTCTGTTTGGGCTTGCGTATATAGGGAGTTTATGGGATTTCTGGCCGGGGCATGGCTAAGAAACATTGCAGAAGCATAACATACATCATGGATGGATGAAGGAACCACGGAGAAAATAAATTGGTTGGTTGGTTTTTACCATAGATTTTTAATTGCTTTAATTTACAACTCTGTATTTTCTTCCCGTCTAAGATATCTTTCTATGTATTCGTGTACCTCTGCCAAGCAGGAATTATGCATTGATCTTGATTGATGAAGGGTAGGTACCTAGGTATATCGAACTCCTAAACGCCTCGCTTCGCTTCTTTTTCCTTTCTTCTCATCCACATCTCCTAGCTTACCACCCTTTCGTTCCTGAGATGTATAGCTTGCAATTATGCCGTGTCCATATCTCAGAAATGAAATGAAATGAAATGGTGGAGAAGATGTATGTTCCCAAATTGGTATGTTTGACTCTTGATAGGATAGTCATCAGACCAATTGTGGAATAGGTTTTCTTTGTACACCCATATCCACATCCATATCCACAGATTATGAGAACCTGTTCATCTAAGGAACCAAACCTTTGCCATGCACTCCCCAAATACCCTCTCCCTCATCCCTCATCAATACCCACAGCTCACTAACTCTCCCTCACTCCCGCCCCTACAACTCCCCACCCACTCCATCCTCCCCCTCCAAAACCCTCCCCCTCAAAATCCTCACCTCCTCCACCGGTCTATCCTCCGCCCCCGTCTTCACAAGCCCCATCCTCTTCACCGTCCCCATCCCCCTCGTCACCCGTCCAAAAATCGTATGTTTCCCATCCAACCACGGCGTCGGCGCCAACGTAATAAAAAACTGCGATCCATTTGTATTCGGGCCCGAATTCGCCATTGAGAGAATCCCCGCCCCGGTATGCTTCAACGGTGGGAGATTACTCCCCGCAGGGGGGTTGAGTTCGTCTTCGAATTTTTCCCCGTAGATCGAGGTTCCGCCGCGGCCGGTGCCAGTGGGATCGCCGGTTTGCAACATGAAGTTTGGGATGATCCGGTGGAAGATGATGCGGTCGTAGTAGCCGCGCCGGATGAGAGTCTCGAAGTTGGTGCAGGTTTTGGGGGCGTGTGAGGTGTAGAGTTCGAGGGTTATGGTGCCCTAGGAGAGGAGGGGGGGTTAGGATGGTTTTGATTGATAATTTGCTGGCTCATTTGGGGGAGGTGGAGGCAGAAACTATGCTCAGAACTCTCTATAGCTGTCTATAATATAACTGACGCTCCGCTGGCCCTCCCGGGGCTTCAGGGTTGGTGGGTGGGGGAGATGGAGGCAGAAGCTATTCTGAGAACTCTCTATAACTGTTTATAATATAACTGACGCTCCGCTGGCCCTCCGGGAGCCACTGCCGTGGAGGCAGAATATTGAGGGCGGGGAAGTAATTGGGAAATCTGTACATACCATTGTGGTTTCTAAGGCGATATTTACAGCCATTTCGTATGTTTGTATATGTATGATCAATCGAATTTGACCAATTGATAATATAGAAACTATAAAATCAATTCAAAGTGAGGAGTGAGTATTATGTTGGAGATTCGAGAAGGCTTCAATTTATTGTTTACTTTCTGCAAGGCTGAGAGAAAGTTTGTCGCCCACCAGTGGCCTTGTCGGATCCCTGCTGTTTGTTTGTTCCTTTGGGAAGGACAACATCTATCCAACTTCGACGGGTATCTTAGTTTTTTTGATTTCCTAGCTGAAATTCAAAGATACATTCACTTGAAATTAAACTTGAAATTTCTGAGAATGAGAGAGTTTTAGCTGGCTGGAAGCGAAAAGAACTCTAATTAAAAGTCATCACAATGAACTGGCTTCAACTGTGAAAATACTCTCAACACCTCACAACTCAACTTCCAACCTGTCAGTCCCATAGTGGTCACGATTTGCTCTGTACCAACACCAAACAAGTCAACCACGCAAAATGGATAACGTCAAAGATTTGCTAGCCAAATACGGCTCTATGATCTATACTCATCGAGAGATGATTAAATTAGAAATTCATGTTATCCTCGCTGCTCTCTTCCCCATCTACATCGGATCACATGCATCACTTCAACGCCCTCCTTCTGCCTCACCACCTCGCAAATCCTCTTCTTCTAATCGTCTCCAAACTTCAAATGAAGAAGATGAAGAACAATCCAGAGCTCAAATGGAAGGTATGACGCCTTCTGATGCTATCATCTTCCCACTTCTAGCTGCTGTGGCGTTGGGAAGTCTCTATTTTATCATTAAATGGTTGGATGATCCCGCTATTCTTAATAAAATATTAGGATGGTATTTTTCTGCTCTGGGGATTTTTGGAGTCGGGAGATTGGCAAAGGATTCGTTGGATGTGGGAGTGGGATTTATATTTCCAAATGTGTGGACGAGGGGAAATAATCTTTTCCATATCGACCAGAAATCGAGACGTCAAGTTTCTGAAGATGGACAGGGGAAGTTGGTCAATGTTGGAGTTATGAGTCCTCTTCCTGGCCGAATTTCAAAGATCAATCTGCCAAAAGGAGTTACGAATGCGTTGTGGAATGTTCGTGGTCTTTTGAGAACAAATTATACGCTTCATCTCCACATTAAGACTATACTTCCTCATCAAAAGACTCCGATCAAATTCACATCACTTCTCGGTCTCTTGATAGGTATCGCTACAATCACAGCTTACAATCTGCTGAATGCACCATGGTATCTTACGAATCTTATGGGATTCGGGTTTTGCTATGGATCTCTTCAACTTATGTCTTTGACTACATTCTTCACTGGATCACTAGTTCTCTTTGGACTCTTCTTTTACGATATCATTATGGTGTTTTATACACCTTTAATGGTCACCGTGGCTACCACTCTGGATGTTCCGATCAAACTTGTGTTTCCAGCGGGCGAAAGTGGAAGAAGTAGTATGTTGGGATTGGGAGATATTGTTCTACCAGGAATCTTAGTTGCGTTGGCATTGAGATTTGATTTGTATCTGCATTACTTGTATTTGCAGAAGCCAGCCTCTCCTACCGTTTCTCCTTCCACAACCTCAAAGACAGCCATCACAAAAAGCCCAACAACTACTACTCCCTCATCCCAAAAACCAGCCTACAGACCAGCAACTGGTCTCTGGGGTGAACGTTTCTGGACCTCTTCCTTCTCACCTCTCTCCTCTTCCTCCCTGGAAACAGGTGTCGAAGGAACTCGTTTTCCAAAACCTTATTTCAAAGCGGCTCTTGCGGGATACATCATTGGAATGCTCGTAACTTTATTCGTTATGAATGTGTGGAGACATGCACAACCAGCTCTCTTGTATCTGGTTCCTGGTGTCGTATTTAGTTTATGGGGAACGGCGGCTGTGAGGGGAGAATTAAGAGTTATGTGGGAATTTACTGAGGATGGGAGTTTAGAGGATAAGAAGAAGAAAGATGAGGATGAGAAGAAGATTGAAGGAGGAGAAAAGAAGAAAGTAGATGAGAAGAATCAGAAGAAGGATGATGAAAAAGTGAAGGAAAAGCAAATCTCAAACGGAGAAGTAACAAAGAAGGAGCAAAAACACGAAGAAATCAAAACCAAACTCGCAGAAGCGATTGATACGCTAATGGACGATTCAGATGCGAGCTCGATACTATCTGATGGGTCGATTTCCTGGCCGGAAGATAATGGAAATGGAAATGGAAATGGAAATGCGAGTGAAGCAGATGATGAATTGGTTTATGATAGGTCGGAAGAGGAAAAGCATCAGAGGATTGAGAAAATGGCGAGGAAGGGTTTGAAGGCGAAGGACAAGAAGAGGGAGATGGAGAAGGAAGATCAAATTTTCCTCTTTTCTATTACGGGACCGGGATCAAGGGGTGCGGAGAGGAAAGGAGAGAAAACGGGGGTGGATGGAGAAGGGGAGGAGAAAAAAGATAGATGAGAGTTGTGGAGGGCGGGAAGTCAGTACCGAGAGAAATCAAAGACTAGAGATATCTCGTACTCAAAGAACAGGAATGGAAAACAGATAGGTATCCATCCTTGATATCATGTAATCACAGCATGTAAGGAACAAGAGAGGAAAGAAGAAAAAGCTGCAGATAATACACAAATAAATACATAAATAGATGTATAGCTTACATATCATCACATTGAATATCGAAAACAGAAACCTTAAATGAACAATACTACTAGGTATTTCGCTTCGCATCTCATATCTTACATCTCAAGCACGCTCTAGATACCTACCTACCTACCTACTCTCTAACTCATACCTCAGATGGTGATTCAAGGAATTGGAATATCTAGGTACCTGCTAAGTAAGAAGCTGGTTATATATTTTATTTATGTAAGATCAATAGGTAGGTAGGTATCTCATTTATTTATTTATCTATCTATTTATCTATTCATCTATCTATCTATCTATCTATCTATCTATCTATCTATCTATCTATTCATCAATCATTCATCTAGTTCCCTCTTTTTTTCTTTCTTTCGTTTTCTTATACACACATATGTACACATACACACATACACACACACATACACACACCCACATATACTAAAAATCCTTCCTACACATCAACCCTACATCAACCCTACATCTCATCTATCCATTATAAAAACAAACCCCTATTCTACACCCATCCATCCGTCCATCCACAGCAGTCATCCCTAGAGCACCAGGATTAGTAGAGTATGGATAGTTCACCAGTTCATATAGCAAATATCTACTAGATAGCTAGCTATGAGAGGATTCAATACGATGTCTGCCTCCACGGCAGTGGCCCCCGGAGGGCCAGCGGAGCGTCATTGCGATTTTGGGATTTTAGACTTCTGTGATTCTGGAGTGATGAGATATATATCCAGTCATGGGATCATTGTGAACTGTGAACTGTGAACTCTGTATGGGTTTTGGTTATATCTATTTACTCTGTAGGTAGGTATCTGTCTATCTTCTTTTTCCCGTTTGCTTAGCCGGTTCTGTTTTGGTGGTGTGTTTAGATGGGAGGAAATGAAATAGAATGAAATGATGAGCCCTCCCTTACTCCCTATCTATTTAGTATCTATTGATAAATCCATCCGTAACTCCCAAGTATCAAATTATGCTCACTCCTTCTTTCTGTTTAACGCCCTCTGAAACCTTTATTCCATCTCCTCTAATCTTTCGACTCCCAATTCCCAACTCTCCATAAACCACATCCATGCATATCAAGAAAGTAATAGGCCCCCTCCAAATCATCTAAGCTCCAAATGCAGCAGCAGGATAACTTCTCTTTTTCTTTCCACCACTTCCTGAAGCCCCACTTCGACTACTACTTCTTGAACTTTCTTTACTTTGTTCATCTCCTTGTGCTCTAGGACGCAAAAATACTTCTTCGGGCAAATCATTCCATTCTCTTTCTGGTCTACGATCTTGAAATGATGTTGTATGTTTTGATGGGGGTGGTCTTGTTGTTGTGCTCATGGGAGGAGGAGGGGGTGTTGATTTCGCAGTCGCATTTTTGATTGAGTTTAATATGGGAGTTGGATTTGCTTGTGGTTGTCTAGAAATATGATCTTGAACCGAGAATCTTCGTCTAAAAACAAAGGCGTCTTGTGGTCGTAAACGTCTGTAATATCCTTCGACTAATTCCCCCTTTTCGAATCCGCGCTTGGCGTACCATTCTAATGCTTCTTGGTTGTCTACCCAAACGTGCGCGTATAATCCTTCGATTCTGACTCCAATTGGTATGCGAGAAGATGTAGCGGATTCGATGACGGAGTTTAATAGTGCGGTTGCGAGACCAAGGGTTCGATAGGGAGAGAGCAGAGTGAGAGATTGTAGATATATACTATATGTATTTGCGGGAGGTTGGGCATATGGAGAAGATGGAGGAGAGGGATCGATTCGACAGATTAGGGAGCCGATTACTTTTGATTCGGAGTTGGAGTCTGGAGTATATGTAACTACTCTTGAGAAAGAGAGAGAGATTGGTATCGAAGGAGAAGGGGGAGAAGTAATAGCGTGGTAGAAAGCATCTGGATATGGAATTGGAAGGAGGAGAGCATTAATGCGACGTAATGGTTGGATATGGTGATCTTGCGGTATTTCGATTTTATACCCCTGGGGAAGTTGCTGTGATGATGCAGGTAATGGTTCTAGAGAATCTGGGGTAGCGGTAGTTGCGGTGGTTACTGGTGGTAGAGGGGCATTGGTAGAGCTTGGTGGACCCGATGCAGGTTGAGGTGGAGGTATTTCTTGACCTGCATTTCCATTTCTATTCTCATGAGAGTCTGGAGTTGTGATTGGTGTTGTTCCTGGTGGTGGAGTGTATGTAGGTTGTTTTGGTTGAAAGAACGATCGAATGGTTGGTTGTTGAGGACGTGGTGGTGGAGGGGTATTGTTTGACATGGTGTCTGCTGTATTCATTGTTCAAGTTACTTTGCTTGGGTATAATCTGATCTGATGTTTAAGGAGAGACAAAAATGCTTGGAGGAAGAGAGAAGATGTG